TTCACTTGTTCTTTTCATTTTCTTGACATCATGCAACTCTTGCCCACCTCCAGGTGTGTCAAAAAAACAGAATTATTAGTATTTTAATATGATTTATAATTTCAATTGTTGTTTGTCATAACTTTAATTCATTACACACATTCTTTACAATTCCAGTACTGTGCAAAAGTGCATGGTGGATGCAGATGTGATGGTGCCTCTTTTATCGTGTACTTGTCCGGTTTCCTCTTTTTATGGACACACTGCATGCACAAGATGCCGAGATATGCCGACAATCACCTCGTTGGTACAAAACTCCTATTTCAAGCCCTTCACCCTGTGTTATCTTTGCCGTTTTTCATACATTCAACTAAAGAAATGACAATAAATGATGTTTTTGGTGACAGACTAGTAAACACAACTTAAAATTAGTTCATTGCTAAGTTGTCTGTTATGTGTATACACATAAATCTTGAGTTAGGTGTGTGTGGGGGGGTTACACTTGAATGATTCATAGGTCAGTGTTAAGTGTTTCAACAATCAAACAAACATTCCTCTAAATTGGTCGGGTACAATGACTGGGCTAAAACTGAGTTTAAAAAAAAGCAGCCAAAGTCCAAAACTATGAAGCAGGTCAAGAGCACTTTAAAAAATTACAAGAAGGTCCGGCTCGTACAATATATTGAAAAGAAAAACTTTAACATTTCTTAAAATGTGCATCATAGGCTATGTCTATCATCTGGTGATTTGTTTTTGCTACATCTGTGTTGCAGTGGATGCTATGGAGGTATATCATAAAAGGCCAGACCTGTGTCTCCCCAGTTATAGCTCTTAAATTAAAAAAATAAAATAAAGTGAACCAGGATCTTTCACCTGTCAGGTAATTGCCTGAACCGCTGCACAATAAAGTGACCTGTTTAATGCCGGTCCTTAGCCACAGTTAACGTGATACTGGCCTAATGTTTTTGTGAGGGTTTTCTACTTTTACCATTTCTGTTAGACTGCCAAATGTTTTATTATCAATGTTGGCTTCTTATAATTTAATTTTGTAAACACGGGTAGAATAATGAAACAGATGTTCTCCAGCCATTATGGTTTGTGGCTGTGCATAGAGAAGATGACTTGGCCTGCATAGCTTTGAAGCTACTGTTTCACAGTAAAATACATATTAAGTATTTTATTTCCCACACTAGATAATTCTTCCCTTTTTTGTAATACTAACACAAACATGGTGTTATACCAATGAACATGCATTGTTTAAGTGCGCAAGAAATCACGCCTGCTGCAGAGTCGTTACATGTTTAAGGATTAATCATCACCTCGCTCATCACTGTGTCCAAACACCAAGATGGCGATGGCTAAAATGATCAGCTGGTGCTCCACATA